ATAAGCAAGAAGTCTGGTGTCTTTCCAGAACCTTCTGTCTAGATGCAAAGAACCCATCAACTATCACTTGCCTTGATCATTGGCCTTCCATAAAAGCTCACAATATAATAAGGTGAAAATATTAGGCATGCCTTCAAAGCCTTGGTGTTGTTACAAGCACACACATGGCTCGGGTGCCCTGTAGGGACCTTCACAATTTTGACTGTTCACAATTTTGAACAGTCCCAGCAACTGGCTACCTGAGGATATTATCCAGGGAACCCAAGCGAGGACGATTCAACAACCCTGCTTACCACCACGTTCTGTAGTGCTAACTGTTCACTAAATATTTCCCGAAGCCGCAGAGCAGCCGTTATCTCCCTACAGCACAGAAAGCCTTTTGGGCACGGTGGTGTTACACAAATCTGTTTTCCCAGGACACTTCCTATGCGAAAATCATAAGAATAGGAAAAAAATAATCTAGTGGCCTGCTTCCCTGACAGCAGGCGGGTGCCACACTTTATTTTCAAATCTCAAACCAAAAGCTTACCTCAACTTCTCTTCAGTTTATCTAAATCTTTAAGGGATTATACTTCACCACTTCTGCATCAACGTCTCTAACGGAGATGGCTGTGGCCATAACCCAAAACAGTTTTAGTCTGTTTCTTCCTCTTTCTCTGCAAGATGTAGCTTTGTCCAGATACTAAATTCTTACCCAATCTGGGTCTGCCTGATGGCCATGGGTCAGCTTGCTCCAGACAAGTTGCAGTTTGGTGGGAAATTAGATGTCTTGTAACAGAAATATTGCAACATATCTTGGGCTTTTTAGAATGAATAATGAATGTCTTTTAAATAAAGATATATTAAACATCTTGTGTACGTAAGAGGCCASGTCTAAATTATGTATTGTGAGCCCGGGACACACAATGAACTACAAGAGGTTAACGTGCAGTATCAGTTACATCACTAGATACGTCCAACCACAGTGAAGTAATTCCATACAGGCACCATTCATAATAGAAAAAAATAAATTTTTAAAAACGTACTGTTTTTATACAGACTCCTATTTACCTTTTCCTGAGATAAACACAAAGAATACAGATATCTTACAGTAGAAAGGCAGTCTTTTTTGTTCAGAATTGCTGCCAAGGCAAGGAGCTAAAGCTTCATTTATGTAATAATCTTAGAAACTGGTAAAGTAGGAGGTGCTGAGGGAGGTGGAAAGAGATTATAAAAGRTAATGCAGTTGCTCCTGACACCAAGCTTTGGAATCACAACATCTATATCCATGTTAAAAAGCTCAATCTCATTTCTTTATAACCAGTATCCTCTTTCTTAGATCCTCCATTTATATTTTGGAATGACTGCTCTCCATTTTTCCCTTGGAGAGGTTATAGCAGAAGCCACTTTGTTTRCTTAAACTTGTGCTCCAGTTTGGAAGCACTAGTTTGCGTAATGACCTGCTTTTACAGTGACCACAAGTGCCAGGTAGTGCTGTGTACTTTGCATTCTGGGCTTATCTTCAGACAGTCCCTCTGGCCACATAAACACTCACTCAGAGAAAATGAATCCCTGGGTTAAAAAAAAAAAAAAATTGTCATGTTAAGTGGCACGAGCAAAGAAGGATCATCCTGTGCCTGTCATGTAATTGTCACAGCAATTTCAAGAAAATCAGTTAATCATGATTAATGGCCTTAGAGACTGATACAGTYTGCAAACTGTTTTAGTGGTCAAGGTGCAACGATGCAAAGCAATGGGTGTTTGTTTGGTTTTGTTTTCCTTGAAAACTGCCACATGGGTTTCAGTGTCCATCCTGACAGCAGTGGACCTGAGAAAATCTTTACACCCTCTGCGTACCCTCCACTATCTGCTCTGCACCAAGTTTATCAAAAAATCCTGACTCGGGCACATGTGGCACGTGCCGGGTTCTCATTTTGTAATGACTTTGCTCGGTTTACAAGCAAGCAAAATGACCCACCATGCAGTATCTTCTTGCAGCTTCCCTTTAAGGCTGCAGACTGAGCACATCACTACTCCACAATCTCTCTTGCCACCAGCTTGAGTCTGCAACTGTCTCTCCACAGGGAGCACAGAGTCCTTTTTGTAAGCAGCAAAATGGATTTCAGATTCACCAAGCAGAACTCAACTCAGGGCCTAATGGAAAGAAAACTTCTTGTCAACAAATTGCCACTGGGCTGACAAGCACAACAGCGCACAGCCACCATCCTGAACTGACCRTTTCACACTGGCTCACGTGCCGTTTCATAAGCTTGGACTAGGTTATTTCTCAGGTCCACTCAATACGGACATTCCCCATAGGGCTAACAAAAGKTTCCCCTTGCACACATCCCTTTGGCACGTGACAGTGCAATAAAAGTCTGAGTTAGTGCAAAAAGTAAGAACTCAGCACTCCCACTGCTCAACATCGCAGGAGAACACATTTTCTCTAATTTTCAGGATTAAGGGCAGGATTGTCTCACTAGAGCCAATTAAACCTCTAGAGCTGCCAAACAAATTTGTCGAAATGCATTTGCAGGAGCTACAGAAGATGACAAAGGGACAAATAGAGACAGTAACATTTCTGTCACTGGATACTTGCAGTTGGGGAGGATTCCGAGTAGCTTTTCTTGGGGACAGAATACTACAGCAATTTAATAACCATTAAAATAATTAGTAATGTGGCTGATAAGTAATGGCCAGYCTACCTGAATACATTGACTACAACAATATCAAAAATTGAGAAAAGTAATGTGCTTTTCCAAGCCTCATGCTAGTTAGGAGCCGATTCCCAGTCAGTGCAATGTAGAGCTTTGCTTCAGCTGCTTCAGGGTCACCTCCTATCGTGCTGACCCTGTGGCAGAATAACTGCGTCCACCCTGGCCAACCATGACACCACTGCAGCAATCACCGTGGTGGCCCCTTCTGTTTTAACATTGCAAGTGACAGCTCAACAAAGCGCAGCCCAACTATATGTGTTTTGCTTATGACCATTCCTTTTACTGTTCTCAGCATAAGGATACAAATATCCCTTGAACTCTCAATACACTGTCTTCAATTTTGTATGAATCCATAATAAAGCTTTGTTTCTCTCTCTGAATGGCAGTTTTCAAGCCAAAATGTTAAACAGAGAGATCCATCAAGAATCAGTATAGATGAGGATTTTCCTATCAAGTCCAATCAAATAAGTGTTTTGCTRCATTGCTTGACAAGACAGCAATTTTTGCTGGTACATACGGTGTCAGGAAAGGTTTTTTTTAATAAGCAGAAAGTTAATAATAAATTCWATATGCTCTTGAGTACAGTGAGTTATAATCTCCAGCGACCTTTAACATTATGGATAGAAGCCTAACTTGTGCTTAATTTGTGCTTGGCCATATTTGGTAGTCCRTACGCTTTCACATAGACTCTAAAAATATATTCAGGCACCAGTTAATTCTGCTTTAGCCAAAAACAGCTGATTCAAAACAAAAGAAGAGCAGAGAGCGAGGACAATTGAACACTGAGATGAACATGAACTTCACCCAGGAGCTACCACACRTTGGAGAGCTGTGCCCACACACAGTGTAATTTTCATCTGATGTCTCACAGTACTCACATCAGTGTCCACCTTCGAGGCGGACGTGTTTTGTAGGATGCACCAGCCTTGCGGAGCCTGGAGGAGCTGAGGGAAGTGCAGATCCCCCCCTTCCTGGCCGGGCTCCTTCCCGGCCGCAGGCAAGTCCTGGAGCAACCTGGGTTCAGCCCAAGAGCTCATCTCCCTGCAGCACCTGATGCAAAGCGAGAGCAGCCAAGGAGCTCACACCTCTTGCAACCTGCGTGTAAGCGCAGGGCCAACACGCTTGTGTGTCTGTGTTTGGGATCCACTGATACATCTGGGGCTTCCTTGCCCAAACATCCCCATCTAGGCGATGGGGGAATAGGCAACAAAGGTTTCTTCCTCATCAACTCTCTTTAGACAAGCAAGGCCAAGCAAGGCTAAGCAAGGCTTTAGTTGTRTTTAGAGACTGAACTAAACCCATCAAGAGAAAAATGATGAAAATAGATCTTAACACAGGAGAGGTGAAAAGTGTTAACCTGATGAATATAGAAAACTGCTCATAAGAACAGCCCCACTGAACTGCTTCTATTTAAAGGGTATTTTCAGTGTTGATGTGCAGGTCATCACTGATTTTACTGCTAATCAGAAAGATTACACTTGATTACATTACTTGATTACAAGATTACACTATAAAAAGCACATTACTTGTATTAAAGCCTGAACACTGTCCAATGCAAATAGAAAAAAAAAGTTTATATTAACAGCGTTTTAAAATCTTATTCTCTTCTGTTTCTTTATGCATTCAGCTGGCTTTGCTGTTGCCAGTTAGGTTGTTTGTGCATGTTTCAGATGTTTCATTACCACAAAATCTCTCCAAAACCTGTTTTCATGCCCGTATCCCACAGCGGCAGAGGTGGGAACTAAGTCTGGGGTGCAATAAAACAGGACAACGAAATCAAAAACCTAGAAACGCTGTTGACAGAGCACTTAAAAATGCCTCATCTTTCAAGTTTTTTTTTTTTTTCTTTGTTTGGGAGGCGGGAAATACTATTGTTAGACTTGACTTGTCTAAAATGCAGCACTCGCGCAGCGTTCCAGGGAGCACTGCAGATAACTGATCACACAAACTATGATTCTCTGCCAACATTTGCAGGCAGTTGGGCCTGAAAACCAAGGGACCAACTGGGAGAGGGGCAGCTCGAGCTCCTGCTAAGTTCCAAGCCCCAAAGGGGCAGGAATCTCACACCCAGAGCCAAATTCTGGGAGGAAAGGCGGGTGCCGGGCCCTTCCTGGAAGGAAGGCCCTCCCAGCGCGCCGCGGAGCGGGGAGCAGGGACGGGCCGCGGGCACGGGCCGCGCTGCCGCCTCCGCTCCGCGCTGCCTTCCCGCCGCGGGCAGCCGGGCCCAGCCCCGGGGCGGCCCCGCGGGAGGAGGCGGCGACGACGACGACAGGGCTGCCCCGCGGGCGGCCGCCGCCGCGCGCCATGGAGCCTGACAGCGAGACCCACGAGCTCAACGGGCCGCCCGAGAACGGGCTGCTGGAGGGCGCGCAGCCGCCGGCCGCCGAGCGGGTAGGAGCGACGGGCGCGGGCGCGCAACGGGCTGCGGGCGCGCGCAACGGGCGCGGGTCCGTGGCCTCAGGCAC